TGTCTCCTGTCTCTTTCTCTCTCTTGGTCTCTCTCTCTCTTTTCACCAGCAGCAGGTAGTACTCCTCGTGCCCATGTTTTACTTGTCCCGCTGGTCGGGACAATAAAGTTGGAAGCAAGGAGTAGCAGTAGGTTGGTGGCATGAAGAAAGTGATGACTTGGAATGACTGCAGTGGAAATGAATGGCAAAGGAAGCTGACCAGGGAAATGTAAAAGATTTTACAGGGTGTGAATTGCTGCTAAGATCTGATTGTCTGAAAATTGCTCCTCAACTTTGTTCCTATTAGCACTCCAGACTTATCTCCCATCATAGAACCTGTCAGATTCAAATTGCCTGATTAATCCAATAGACAATGAGCTTGAAAAAAGGCTTGCTTGACTTTCCTCTTTGAGTTTCCAGCACCAAACACAGTGTCTGGCATATTAGTCAATGGCTACTTACCAAATAAAATAGAGATACTTTCACAAATACCTTCTAGAAAAAGTAAGTTTTTATTGACCTTTCCTTGTATCCCCAGCTCACTGATGGGTTAACTGCTTTTCTTCCATGCTCCCGCTGCACCGTAAGTGTCATATCCATTACAAGCCTGTATCATTGCCTTTTCTCCATTGTATTGAAAATATCTGTTTATGTGTGTCTTACCCAGCAGATTAAAATCTTTTCAGATCAGTAGCTTTGTATCACAAACTCAGCACAGTATAGCAGGCATTTCCTTTTTATTTTAAATTTTTATTTTGAAATTGTGGGGTACAATTCAGGGGTATACAAATGCTCATTGTGCAGGTACCCTTATTGATGAGGTGTGCCTCCCCTTCCCCAGGTGGATATTGACTATCAACCCCAGCTACCCATCCCCTAGCGCCCTCCCCGCAGTTTCCCGCTACTTTCAATCCCTATCCTACAGTAACACAGTAGTTGTTTAAGGTCCACTTATGAGTGAGAACATGTGATACTCAGCTCTTTGTTTTGGTGAGAGTATTATAAACTCTAATTCCATCCACGTTGCTGCAAAGTTCATGATTTTGTTCTTTATGGCTAGAGCAGACATTTTCTAGTCTGAGCTGAACAATTAAGAAAGACTTTATTCTGAATTGTACTCCACATTTAGAAAATAAAAATAATGCAGAAATTCATATGAAAACATAAACAACCACGAATAGCCAAAGCAATCCTTAGCAAAGAAGCAGGAGGTACCACACTTCCAGACTTCAAAGTTTACTATAAGGCTACAGTAATCAAAACAGCCTGGTATTGGTACAAGGACAGGCATATAGACGAATGGAAAGGACAGAGACTCCAGAAGCAAAACCTCAATTTCTCAACCAACTCATGTTTGACAAAGCCTCCAACAATCACTATGGAGAGAAGAAACTATTCAGTAAACAGTGCTGGGAAAACTGGCTGACCACATGCAGAACATTCAAACAGGATCCCTACTATCTATCACCACATACAAAAATAAACTGTAAATGGATCAAAGAACTAAACATAAAACCTCGAACTATAAGACCTTAGAAAATGCAGGAGAGACTGGTGGGACCTCATTAAACTGAAAAGCTTCTGCAAAGCAAAAGAAAACATCAAGAGTAGAGAGACAGACCACAAAACGGGAAAGAATATTTGCCAACTGTATATCTGACAAAGGTCTAACATCTAAGATCTACAAGGAACTCGAATGTGCCAAACAGAAAAAAACAGCCCCAATAAAAAGTGGGCAAAATACATGAACAGACACTTTTCAAAAGAAGATATATAGGCAGCAAACAGAAACATGGAAAAGTGCTCTCACTAATCAGAGAAATGCAAATCAAAACCACATTGAGATACCATCTAACCCCAGAAAGAATGGCCATCATTAATAAAACAAAACACAGATGCTGGTGACAGAAGCAGAGAAAAAGGTACGCTTCTACACTGCTAGTGGGAATGCAAAGTAGCTCAACCTCTATGAATAATAGTGTCGTGATTTCTAAAAGAACAAGAAATTTACATTCCATGTGACCCAGCAATCCCCCTATCTAGAATATACCTGGAGTAATTATTCTACCAAAACATCACTGCACACACATTTATTGCAGTACTATTCACAACAGCAAAAATATGGAACCATGTTGCCCATCAAAACTGGACTGCATACAAAAAAAGTTGGTACATATACATGATGGAATATTACGTAGCCATAAAGGACAAACATATAGACTTCACAGCAACTTGGATGTATTTAGTCTGTAATACTCAGTGATCTTTCACAGAAACAAAGAACAGAGTACCATATGTTCTCACTTATAAGTAGACCCTGAATATTTACTATAATACTACAAGAAAGGGATTGGCAGTAGTGGGATACTGCCAGGGGGTGGGTGCGTGAGACACAACATCAATGAGTGTACCTGATCTCAAACTAGGCAATGTGGGGACCAAAGGGAGATCCAAACTTTACCTGTATGATGTCTACTTGTATCCCTAATCCTGAATTATACCCCACATCTTTAAAATAAAATTTAAAAAATAAAATAAAAATAATAAAGACTTTATGTTTTGGGAAGCAAAGGCTTTATTTCTGAATGTACATGGATTTTTGACAAATTTTTTAAAGGCAGTATTAACAGTACTAGTAAAGTATAATTAACACTAAATTATAAGATAAAGTGCCCACTTATCTGCGTCATAGTATTCTGGATAAAACTCTGGGAAAACAATGGCTTTACAACATTTTAAAAGGCATCATCAGTACAGTCCCCCTTTTCTATTTGCTTCTCTCTGAGTGTTTAAAATATAAAGAATGATTTCCATACCATCGAAGGCAAATTTTTCCAAACAGATTGACCTTTAAAAGATCAGGAATTGATCCAGGTGACTTTTTATGAAAACAATTCAGGTGACCAAGCACTTTTAGTTTCAGACACTGATGGTGGGGAATTTGCTGAAAATGGAAGGCAACATTTGACTTCTGAACAAGATTCAAGTTCAAGAACAGGGTTCAGCAGAGGTGCTGCTAAGACTTGAGCAGCTGGACAATTGGAAACCCAGCCTGAGTTTTTACAGTTATATTTAAGAGTTTTATGTTTTGTTACTATCTTCTGTTTCTTCTTAATGAAACATTTGTAAGTTCTTTGTTTGATATGTTTCAGTTTCTTTCTTGGTAACTCTTGCTGATCAGGGGAATTATGGGCAGCAAGGCATCTCCTTAGACTTGTGAGCTGTAATCCAAGCATATTTGAAAGAACTGCTTTTTGTGTGGTAGGTGGAACCCATTCATCACTATCAGTTTCATGGCACTCAGCAAAAGGATAGTGGTTGAAAACCTTTGTTTGTGTAATACCAGATATCACAGGGCTTGTAGATTTCCAGTTAGCTGTTTTTATATTTTTTGGACAGCTTGGGGTGGCTTGCTGTTTGTCATTTTCAGGGGAAATACTTGCTTTTTTATAGTTTGCATCAAGATCTGAACAAAAAGCAGGTAATCTTTTGAAAGCTCCATTTATGCTGTGAATTCTTGTTTGGTGGAATCCTGCAATGGGAGTTGACTGTGAACATGGAACAAAGTCTTGGCTATTTTCAAAATTATATTCTAAATCAGATTGAAAATGAGATGGAGGAGAGCATGTTCTTGGACACGCAGAGGCAGATATGCTTTGTAAGGATAATTTTTCTGAAGGTTGGCTAGAGTTTTCAGAAAGTGATCTCAGTGAAAAGTCAGACCCTGAAGGATGACTTTCTGCCAAAGACATTAACCATTGGGTAATTTCTGTTGTAATGTCCATTTCTTTAGCAACATCACCAAAGAGATCAACAGAAGCATCATAGCTACCTTCATGAGCATCAGAACAGCTCTGTGCCAAACTACTATTGATATGTCCATAAGATATTTCTTTCACTGTATTTGTATCTCTATTTGGACTACTGCAAAGAGTTTCTAAAGGATATGTAAGTTTTCTGCAAATTGTAAAACTGTTATCTTGGCTCTTTGGCCACCTATAATTTTGTTTATCTTCTAATTTGCAAAGATGAGAAACATCATTATATTTCCTACAACACAAAGTTGTCAACCTTTCGTTCATTTCTGAAAGTGACTTTTCTCCACATCCATTAAAATATTTGATATTGAAACAAGTATGGTCTCTCTCTGAAGTACTGTGCTGAAGTGGAATTTCACCCTTATGTGGTGGAGTTCTGATAGTCTTAAGAGTAACTGCTGTTTCTAAACCTTTTGAAAGTGAAAACAGAGTAGACAGAGAAGCATTTGGTGGAAAATGTTCCAAAATATCTCTTCTGCTACTACTTACAGTGTCTGCTGTGTTATCTGGTTGTAACCTCTTTCGAACACTAGGACTTGGATTTGCTTTACAGTTGAAAAGGAAGTTATGTTGGCTAGAGTTTGCTTTGAGTGTTGCGTGTGATGATCTTACAGCTACAGATGATATATGCAGGGCTCTAGTAGTTCTCTGGGGAGTCACAGACAACCTGCTGTGATCTTCATGAAGGTTATCAGAGTTGTTAACTATATGATGTTTCCCATTACTGGCATCTGTCTGGGTTACAGCAATCTCACTATCAATAACTGCCAGAAACTTGTTCAGGCTTTCAGAGAATGGCAGATCATCCCAAATCATGGGGTCGCCTTCCTGGGAACTGCCAGCTATCTTTTCATCTCTAAGTGATGACAGTGGACAGCATGCAACTCTCTCTTGAAGGCCAGTGGGGGTATCTACAACACAGTGCCTGGAACATGGTAGCTCATGCTGAGACCTACTTTTAATTTCCACTGCACTGTGGATAGACTTTGTATTACTTAACTCAAGGAGCTGTTCTATTTTCAGTGGGAATAACTCAGAGTCAGTAACTCCAATTTCATGATGACTGCTGTGAACAGCACTCAACTGATTAGCTGGTAAGCCAATTTCTTCACCCAACTTTTCTGCTGTACTCTTTTTATCCATGCACGAAACCAGGTTCCATGAACCCTGAATGGAATCATGGTAGTTACTGGAACCAGTGGTCTCTCCAATGGAGAGGTACTTTTTATTCTGGTGAAGATTACCAAAGGCCTTACTTTGTTCTGAAGTCTTCAAATCATCATTATCTGTTACCTGTGAAACACTGGAAGTGAGTTCAAGTGATGGCTGCCAAAATCTTGAAAAATTATCTCTGCTGCAGGACTCAAAAAAATAAAAACTGCTGTCAGAGCTACACAGGCTGCTGAGATCACTATTTGAATGATCTAAAGCAAGTAAGTGGCTATTAGGTACCTGGGAGCCATAGTGAAGTTTCCTGAAAGTAGAAGTCTTTTGTAAAAGCTGATTAAAGTAGTCAATGACAGTAAAGCCTGCAACACCTGGGTTTGGTAGAAGAATCTGGCAAGCTACTAGTGCCTTGACTTCTCTTTTGTGGTTAGGACACTGCTGTAAAAAGTCACTGAAATTTGAACCTTGTCCATGTTGGATTTCAAAATTCTGTAAAAAAAAAAAGTAAATATATTTAAATTAAAAAATGTTTTTCCTCTGACTTAAAACAGGGATTTAAAAGGTTAAAGCAGATACAACTATCGCCCCTTCCCCCATTTCAATTCCTTTAGTGTTACAGGCAATGCAGCATTTTAAGACAACATAAGCCTTGGAGTAAAGAGCTTGCTTTCAAGTCCTGGTTCCAGCACTTATTATTAGTTTTGGGACTTTGGACAAATTACCAAACCTCTCTCAGTGTTAGTTTTCCCATTTATAAAATAAAGATAAAACTGCAGAATTGCTGTTTGGCAATAAAATGGAAAATTGCACAGTGCTTGCTAAGTAGTAGTAGTTCAGTAAATGTTAGCTACCATTATATTTCTCATTACCTTCCATAAACTTTGAATGGAAAAGGAAGGAACTTTTACGATTTTAACAAAGTAAAGCTCTGTAGCTCTTGGTTTCACCTTCTCTTTAGGTTTTTCTCATGTTCAGTTGTGAGGTACTCTAGTCCCCCTTTAAAAACTTTGATTTTGATATGGAAAAAAATTTCCATTTGCTCCCTTTAGCATAGATGAGACAGAAAACTACTATTCCTTCAGTCAGTCCATTCTTGTAATGTCTTCTATAGTCACTTTTATAATTATTTAAGATCATCCTTCTTCATCTATTCCTAGCGTTCCTGTCAATACTCAGATACTTTGCCTTCAATGTTAGTTCCCTCCTTATCCTCTCATATATGACAGAACTAAAAAGCTAGAGTTAGTAGAAGTTTTACTAGAGAATTTGAACAAAACCTGGAGGATGAAATAAGCACCAAATATAAAGATAAATTTATATTTTTTAAGTTCTAAAAGCATTTAACTTGGGCTCTTCTGACTTTAGAAAGAGGAAGTTGTCACACATGGTATTTTAAAAGATCACTTATATACTATTTTTACACAGTTTGAAGTGCTTCTACAGGTCTTCACATTTATATAACTCCTAAAAATGATTTAGAAAATTCACATAATTCATTACAATGGAAATATTAACAGACTATTAAAAAGGAAGCTAGTCTCAATTACCGTTACTCCAAAAATAAAGCTTTGTCCAACAAAGCAAGTTTCAACGGCTTTAGTTAATAGATTCTGAGTTACATCATTGTCCAGTGTTTCTGGAATTTTATTAGGATCCTGAATATACCTTGATTGGAAAGAAAAGACAGAATGTTAAATTATAATTTGCCCTAAAGTCAGACACACACAGTTTAAAAATGCAGCATGAACCTTTTATAAATAGAGAAAAAAAAATGACTTTAAGAACTAGGCATTTTGTTCCCTCTAGTTTAGAAAGATTAGAAAGACAAAAATCATAAGATGAAAAACAAAGAAACTAACCAATCAAGTTTGAATGAAGTAGATGCCTGCCTAATCATCAGGCTCAGCAATTATTCAAGGGAAAAACGAAAGTGGCAGTGGGAGTAATGGGATCTCCAGCCCTTCACCTCAAAGCAGAGGAAAATCTTTTTCTTGGCTGTTCTGGCTGTGGTCCCTCTATTGCCTTTTTCTTCAAATCAGTGTGCCCTCAACTATAAAAACATAAACAGATTTCTTTTGCCAAATGACTAGGGGAAGAAGATGGAAGATTGAGAGGGATAAAAACTTTAATTGCATATATATTATATATATTCTTACATTCTCAGGACAACAATCTCAAAAGGTCAACTATGCAAATAAAGTTGAAGGAAAGTGGAAAAAATAACAAAATTTCAACATCTGCTACATAACTATTTCTCCTCACATAGATTCTGCTTTAGAGAACCTTAACCACTTGAACACTAACTCAATTTGACATGATCTTCCTCTCTTAGTATATATTTATCTAACTTGGAGCAGAGCTTTACAACTTAATTATCATTATAGCTTATTTGCCCTGACTAAAAGGAGACTGGCTTAACATTGTCATAATATATCTTCAGGAAATAAACATCTGTCTCATTTGAATCTCTTTTAAAGGAACTGATGATCTGAGGCCAAATGATCATCGTCACAAAAAGCATATTGTCTTAAAAATACATATCTTGAGGATAAAAAATACATATCTTGAGGATAAGTAGCAAGATGGTGACGGGGTAACCGGGTCTCTGAAGCCCTCTGCAAAGGAGATCTGCAGTGGGTCTCTGACTCTCGCCCCGGGGGGCTGGGGACCCCAACATCACAACCTGCTCTTCATACAGAGCTCGGCCGTTGCCACCGCTGGGACATCGCAATGGTCTGAAACATCGCATCACAAAGAGTGCTGCTGCCGCCGCAGCCCCTCCCCCCGCCACCGCTGCCGCTGCCTCTGTGACGGGTAGCACATCACACCACCCGGCCCCAGGCGATCCACACCAAACCCCTTCAGGGAAGAACTGCTGGGATCCCTGCGACCTCTCCTGCATCAGAGACTGTCCTGCCCACCCAGCTAAGGCTCCTGTTGCCTGCTCAGAGGCAGGCAGCCATCTTGTTCCTGTCCAGCCCCACCCTCTCTGGGGCGAGCAGCTGAGATAGCACCACCTGCTGGCAATTCAAGGTAACAACACCGAAACGGGAGAAACGAGCTTGATAAAGACATAGACCAAAGTGCTGAACGGAGGGTAATCTGAACTGTCCTTCACAGCAGATCAGGGGCAACTGACCCTAACTGCAAACTAATTTATCAGCTTGAAAAGAAAACTAGAAATCAGACCTGAAAGGACACTGGACTTAAACGAAATGTCTCAGAGTGTGCTTCATTGATTCTATTAGTTTAATGACTTAATTCTATTCCTACTGTATTGTTTCCTTTTTTTCTTTTTTCCTTTTCCTTTTCTTCTCTTCTCTCTGTAAACCATATCTTTGTATAGAGGAACAACACACTAACAAGGTGGTTGGTTAGCTTGAATGTTAGCATCACTATATGTTTTATTTTTTATTTTTTTGTATGAGAGTTGGCTCGTCTGTAGCTGTGGTCTATTGTTTTTATCTGTTTCAGTATAGGCCTCTCTCTCTATTTGTTGGCACACTCGTTTGTTTCCCCCCTTACTCCTCTATCTTTCTGCTGCCCTCTTCAACCTACTATCTGCTCCATTTTCTCCCCTCTGCTAACCATATTTTATTTCAGGGAGTAAACCTACAGCCCCACTGCATGGACAGATTCCAGGGCAGTGGGAAGTGGGTTCCACATTATCCACACGCCTGTCAGCGAATACCAGGACCTGCAGACAGATTTTGAATCACAGCTCTCCCCTTAAGTAAATCTCAAAACTGCAAAAAGGACCACCTCCAACCTACCGTGCAACTTCAGAATTGAACAAAGTAAGAGGACATACATAAAGAATAGGAAATTGAACAAACAGAAGTAAAACCAATCCCTTTACCCCTGAATAACAGAATTAAAGAAGACGGTGATGTGGAGGGAAGGAAAAAGTAGAGAGGGGGAAAAACCGCACAAATGAAGAAAAACCAAAAGAAGAATATAGGTCATACACAGACCCCTGGGAAATCAGACACTGAGAAAACAGATTCTGGAACACAAACAATGAAGAGTTCCCAGACTGGTTACATGACTGGTTACATGCAACAAACCCAGACATAAAGACATTAATGGAGAGAATTAAAAAAATTGAGGAGAGACAAGAGGAAAATAGGAAGAAGTTGATGTCAGAAATGACAGCTGTAAAGAATTCTGGATGGAAATGAACAACAGTTAATAAGCATGGAAAGCAGAATCAGCCAAGCAGAAGAAAGAATCTCAGAGCTCAAAGACCAAAACACAGAACTAACCCAAACTGTCAAAAGCATAGAAAAGAAGCTCAAAAAGACAAACAAAACCTGCAAGAGACGAACGATCACTTCAAGAGACCAAACCTAAGAATAATTGGGCTTCCTGAGGCAGAAAGAGAAACAGAAGCCACACTGGAACAAACATTTCATGAAATCATTCAAGAAAACTTCCCTCATCTCATTAAAGATGAAAAAATTCAAACACAAGAGATTCAGAGAACCCCTGCAAGACAACAAGTGAGAAGACCAACTCCCAGACACATAATAATTCGCCTAAACAAAGTAGCTATGAAAGGAAAAATCCTAAAGGCAGCAAGAGAAAAAGGTCAGACTACCTACCAGGGAAAACCAATTAGAATGGCAGCAGATTTATCCACAGAAACCCTTCAGGACAGAAGAGCCTGGAGCCCTATCTTCAAAGTTCTAAAAGAGAAACAATTTCAACCAAGAATAACCTACCCAGCCAAACTAAGCTTCATTAGTGAGGGAGAATTGAAATCTTCCAGACATCCAATCC